AATTATTTATTGAAATTGTTCAGATAATCGTTGACTTATACATTAGGTATAATTCATACTAGGTATATAATAAAATATATATATATTATATTACCATTGTGTATTTGTGTGTACCGTATAAATCTATAAAAGGATCAAGTGTCCATTAGAATCTAATGTTTTAATTTATGTATTTTAATATAATGTCTAGATTTTGTTTTTTTAACCGTGTTATATTCGAGAGTATATTTATTAATGTTACATTGTAACATAAAAAATTAGTTTTGATAAATAATAAGATAGTTAAGTTGATTAATTGATGGACTAACGAAATATATTTTCAAATTTTTTTCAGACTGTGTCGATAATAAGTGACCAATATGTTAAGATGACGTCGGGCCCTCGTGTGTATTGTCTCCGTTTTACACACGTATACGACACAGCAAATGTTCGTTTATATTTTCGTATATTATACTTCTTTTCAAAAGAGAATATACAGTTTTCGAGCATGTCGTATGATTCGATTGGTGCGTCGAGAACCACGTGATCACTCTAACAATGGGAAATTAGTGCGGAATGGTCGCCGATCGGTATATTCTCTTTTGAAAAGGAGTATAGTTTCAATAGGGTGTGTTCAGTTTTGATATTAGAGCTAATTTACCTATTATAAAACTTTTAAGTAGGTAACAACATTATCTGTGTTATCTCGTTGGTTTTTTACGAAATTTAATTTTTAAGTGAGTTATGATTAGGTAAATATAAGTATTTGAAAATGCTCATAACTCACTTAAAAATTAAAATATCGTAAATAAACAACGAGAAAACACAGATAATGTTGCTACCTAAAAGTTTGATAATAGGTCAATTTACTCTAATATCAAAACTGGCCACCCTAATACCCTATTGGAACTAGCGAACGAAAATTTGCTATGTCGTACTTATGACGGAGACGACACATGTGGGTGCGACTTCCTCTTAATTGTTTTTCTATTCTCCAACGACAATTTTCGTTACCTATATCTATAATTTATTATCGCTATGATTGATATTTTATTCGGTTACTCGTTATGATTGTGTAACATGGGTTCTTGAGTTTGTTTTTATCTTATAGAGGCATGTCATAGAGTTCTGAGCATTGTGTGATAGTATTGAAAAAACAGGATGTAAAACTGGTGAATGACAGTGGATGGGGGAGTGGTAACTGGTAAGATTTTTCCCGTAATAATTGTATGATAAATGTTTCTCACGGTTTATGTAAAATACAATATGGAAACCCTATGTTATAAGCGTAGGTACTATATAATAAGTACTGCCGGACAGGTAGGTACTTATTTAAAAACGTGTGCCATGAGTCATGACGTGTTGCAGTGGAAGTACGATAGATCCACAGAGAACAGACAAGTAACAACTATAGTATGCTAATACTTAGAAAATAGAATGTAACAAAAAACAGTAAAACTATTTCTATCAAGTGTTTTAAAAATTTTTAAAAAATTCAAGTAAATGCTGTACTATAAAATAATTAGAATAAACGGTTACAACTTCTTTGTTTGCTCATTTGCTGTATAAAATAATGTCATATAATGATGAAAATTTGTTTTGAAAAAAAAAACAAAACAGGATTCCATGTTGTATACTTGTACGTTTTGGTACAGTGTTCATATTATACTCTTTAATAGTGTCATAGTTTTAAAATAAAGTGGTATAAATAAAATATAAAAATTTAGACAAATAATAATAAAATCTATAGGTACTTAATCAAGTTATGTTTTTATTCACACATATGAGGTATAAGTAGAAGGTAGGTCGTAGGTACCTACATTAAAGATATTAGAGAGCTACTTCTTTAGTAAAATCATCTAAGCGATACATAATAATCAAATTAAGTAAATAATGTTTACTGATTAATTAATATTTACCTATCAAATGTTTTACCTAATGCATTTATAAATATTTTTTATTTTCGATATCGCTGTCAGCATAATATTATAATATTTAAAATTTGCTGATCAATGATCATTTTCTAATTTATTATTTTTGATTTTATAACATACATACATTATTTCCATATAAAATAAACGTTTAACAGAGTTAATTGATTTTAATAGCATTTGACGATATTTTTCAACAATGTTCTAACATTTTTCGACCAAAAATTAAATATTCTTTTGTCTTAACTCTTCCCCTTACTTAGGCCTCAAATTGTGTACATACCAACGACTTATCTTTTATTGAAAACAAAATTATTTTCGTGACGTAGTGGGGTTACCACATAATTCATCATATGTTTCTTGTTAAGATATTAAGTTTTATGTTTAAATTATAATTTAGAATATATAATCATATTCGTGTTATTATTATTATTATTAATTATTATTATCTGTTTTCAACAAATTTTTCTTCATACATAAACGGGAACCTGTTTTCAAGCTATAGCGCTACTAACTAATACACCTGTAACTAAAATCATATTAGTCGACCGGTTTTGAACAAAGCGAATTGGAGGTGGGATTTGCAACTACTGATGAGCATTATCATACATATTAATAATTTATTAAATTACCTTATTTTATTAGTATCTCCTTTGGCGTATTACTGATCACTTGTTCACAGTTCTTACCTTTCGTACAAGGTACAGCCAATTTAAGTTAAAAAACTAAGCTGTTATGTATTATATTTCTAAAATAAACACTACGTCAGAATAATAGAAGTCATCAACAGATTAACAGGTAATAACTTTTAATCTCTGTTATGTATACAATGTATTAACATATCAATTGATGATAAAGTAGTATTTAAAAAATACATTCAATCATGCGTGTATTACTTTAAAGTTTAAAGTTTTAAATTATCTACTAATTTTATGGCACAAAAACATCAAATTTAAAAAAAACACATAGGCGTTTATTAATATATTCTCTTATCAATTACTCGAACGAGCCTTTCACTATTATACCTACATACTTTTTCCTAAACTATTCAAAAATATATATCACAAATAATGCACTGTATAAAAGAAAAACAAATATTTTTAACTTTAATTTCTTTGTTTGCTTATCAAATTATTTTTACCTTGAAATCATGACCTAGACCTTCGGTATGGACTATAAGTTTACGATGTTGCTAATAAATATTAGATAAATAATTAAATATAACTTATATTGATTTTCACCATTTTAATAGGTAATTTGGGGGGGGGGGGGGGGGGAATATACATAGGAGTAATTAAATGTTTTAATGGAGCCATTATAGTAGGTGTAGCAGGTCACATATAACTTCAATAGTCTAATATTACAAAAACGACAAATATCATATCTCCTTCATTACATACTTTTTTATAGTTAGTAAGTATCTACTGATCAAATTTTTTATTTTGTTATACATTTATACATATGTCTTCATTACAGTGAGCACTTACTTAAGAAGTACCTACTGACTACTATACTTAAGTGTACCTAATTTATTATATTTGTCTCAGAAATAATTTCAATACCATTTTAATATTACATACAATTATAAAATATAAAAGTATAATATAGGTAAATGTTGTCCTCGTTAGGTTAATGATATTTTAATGATAAAAGGATATTTTAATATTGGACTAGAAAATTGAGTATACATATAATAATATATAAATACTTTTGTATTTTTTATGTGTACCTATCTAAATGCTAAGACTAATAATCCAATTGGCTTATGTTAATTAATTTTCAACAAAATTAGGTATATATTTAAATATTTTTGATCTTATCTATGATAACTGATAAGTGATCAATTTTATGAATAGATAATGAATATTTAGTAGTTTAATTTATTAATTGGTTATAAATTTACATTCCCCAAATGTTTAAGTGACGTGAACAATAAAATAAAATTTTTAAGTAGGTACTTTGACTATCTTGTTAATTACAATACCATGGGTATATGTGTGAACAATATAATATACAGTAAGTAATAAATTGACATTATTACGTTTATATAAAATAATACGGAGAAAATGTTAAGGACGAAGGGCACAAACATTGCGGTTAAACCTGTACCTACCTATATGTTAATGCATAATTAATTTACGATTAATTGTTTGTTTTTTACCATTAAGTTGATAAGGTATCTAGAAATTAATCTAGTTAGCAAGACTTTTCACCCACATGACGTGTACACGACAACAGTATATGTTGTCTCCGTGTCTACGACTGTACGACATAGTAAATGTTCGTTCGCTAGTTTCAATAAGGTCCTGTCAGTTTTGACATTACAGGGAATCGACCTATCATCAAACTTTTAAATAACAACATTATCTGTGTTCCCTCGTTAGTTTTTTACGATATTTCAATTTTTAAGTGAGTTATAAATTATAATGGTATGTAAAACATTAATAATTAAAAATTTTCATAATTCACTTAAAAATTAAAATATCGTGAAAAAATAACGAGAGAACACAGATAATGTCTTTACCTAAAAGTTTGATATTTTATGATCACCAATTGAGGGGCTATCGAAAAACTCTGAAATCTGAAAATAGAATTATTATTATTATTAAAAATAAGTGTTTATACATATTAATATATTATAAGACATATTATTAAACATGGATTGGTTATTTATTTGGTATTTTATTTATGTATTTTGTTGACGATATCTAATAATCAATGCTACCTAATCAGTTTGACCTATTGTAATGCTAACACTATTGTATTATTATTTAGTTATAGATGAGTCTGAAATGTAAATTAATAAAAATCATTATAGGCATTACTTTGCTGACGACGTCTAGGCCACGTATATTTATTATAGTAAATATAGATTACCTTCGATCAGACGTAATCAATGCCCATGAACACGTTTATCACGTAATTATAGTTACAGCTGCAACATAATCAAGAAGTATAAACACCGAAGGTAAAATAAATCTTTGATTATTGAGTTTAGCACGGCGTGGGCAATTTAAATATTTAATTATACCTACACTTATGTTTTATATTTTTGTATTTAGGTACACAGTTTGATCTTCTTAATTGAACATGGACAGAGGTACATTAATTATTTGTATGGTATTCGTGTTCAGTCTGGGGATTGGCAGAGACAGGAGTGTGGAGGCTCAAAACTCACAAAAGAATAATGGTGAGTTTTTTATTTTACATAGGTAATATAGATGTTTATGAATCTAATATTAATGGCTATATGTATGTGTGGTTATGTAGTTAAATTATTCAAAAGCGATCTGACCGATTTTGATGGAAATTTCATAGACTGTTCTTAGAGATATCAGAAAATCTGTTTCAAATGAGATAACCTTTTCTTTAAATAGATGTCGATTTTTGTTTATATATTTTATTTGCGGAAATTTTTTTGATTAATTTGAAAAATAATATTACGAGATAAAACGTGTTAACCGTTGGGAATTTGTGTTTCTGCACACTTAACTCACCTTAAAACAAGCCGGCTTTGTATTAATAGTAATTAATAATTTATTATATCTAATATCATATTATCACACATTTAAAAGGATCAAGGCAAGAGACTATAAACATATTTATAATTCATAATTTAGAAATAAACAAGTATTAGGTATCTATATAGATTTAAAGATTTTTTGAGCAATGAATGTAATTTTGGAAAATTGGTAGTCATATTGTTATGCAATTAAAATGTTTTATTTAATTGACTATTAGTTAAATAAAGCTAGGGTTCACATTTTGTTATTCCAACTAGTAACTTGAACCAAAACAATAAAAATCTTAGGCACTTAGACTAAAACATTATTGAAATTTGTTAAATTTCATCTAAGTTTATATTCCATTAAACAGGTACCTATAACCTCTTTATTAGCGAAGTTTTTAATACCCCGAGGGAAAGTCAAGATGAGTATACCCTTAAAGCCGTATAAATCTGTGTGATAAGAAATTAAGGAGATGAAAACAAACTGAAAAAATTGTCACTGACTCTGAAGACTATGAATTCTAATCTTGTGATTATTAATAAATCACAGTAGGTACCTACATACTCACTTTAAAGTTAGTATAATTCATAAAATATTGGAGAAAGTAGGTAAGCGCTCTACTGTACAGTACTTATCAATCGACTGTGTCTCTTTTTTGATTGAGTAAGTCTCTATAATGTAAGTGTTACTTTAGAATTCAATGATAAATCGTTACATACGAAAAACGATTCTGAACGAAGATTGTCTATATTACTAATTATATCTTAATATGGTATATTTATATTACTATTATAGTCATCTATTTTATTTTTCTAATACGGTAGATGGTAACGCCAACGGTACACTTGAAACTTACTTTAGAGTACAGTGAATTCCCTGGAATTATGTTAAGTTTAACTTAACATAAATTTAGGTATATAGCTGGTAATCAATATATTAAACCAGTTAAATCAATAAAAAAAATTGAGTTTTTCTTAACACACTTTTCAAAAAATATATGTATTATAATGATAATATTCATGAAGTTCCGTTAAATCTGAATCTAATAATAATAAAACTTACTCAAGATATTTTTTAAAAGTATTGTAAATTGTAAATCAATATTTATTTAATAAATGAACAACAATATTATTACAATTTACAACAATAATGAATTGCTCAATAATTCAATTATATTTTGTTTTATTTAATTAATTACTTTAAAAATAATTTACCCATTTGTTTAAATTTTTAGAATGTTTCACGCCAAATGATCTTAACGGCAATTGCATTAACATAAAAAGATGCCCAACGTTACTTAATCTATTACAAAATCAGAGACAGAATGCTTCTATTGCCAATTTTCTCAGAAATTCTATGTGTGGATATGAGGGTAAAGACCCAAAATTATGTTGTCCATTGGAGAATGAACCTACCTCAACTACCTACGCCACTGACACTTCTCAAAGGATAACTACTCTCAGACCTGATTCAACAGGATCAGCAATTTACGAAACAGTTTCGTCAATCAAATTGCCATCTCAAAAAATGTGTGGACGGTCCAATTCTACCCACGTTCGAATTGTCGGAGGAAATCCTGCTGAATTAGGTATACGTTTGAAAACAAATTAAATTGTTATTTTGTTGTGTTTATTATTTTTAAATTTTACAAAATATAGGTATACTTAGAAAATTGTATTAGATTTAATGTATTGTAATCACAATATATATTGACTTTTCAATGTATTTAGGTGCTTGGCCCTGGATGGCAGCACTTGGGTATCAAGATCTTAATAGACCAACTTCCGAATACCAATGGTTGTGTGGCGGTGCCTTGATATCAGATAGATACGTATTAACAGCTGCCCACTGTACCGTCGGTATTGGAAATCGAAAATTGTAAGTGTATATAATAATATTATGTTTATTCAGTCTATAAATTAGTTGAAAATTGTTTCTGTTTGCTTACAATATTTTCACATAATGAGTATCTTATCATATGCGATTCTTATGTCCTTAAATGTTTTTGAGACAAGAATATTGTAATATGTGGAAATGTTATTAAATCAAATGTGCGAATAGGTTACCTCAGTGGCGTAGCCAGAATTTTTTTTCGGGGAGGTGGCTAATCAACTTCTACCGAACTTTTTGAGCGACTATCATAGACCATAAAAATAATTTTTTAAATTTCTCAACATTTGGGGCTGCAGCCCCTTGCCCCCCTGGCTACGCCACTGGGTTAACTACATACTATTGTACTATTGATGTACGTGCCACTACTTACTACCCATATAAAATATTCACTATCCAATGTCCATGTCTAAATAAAAACGCTGACAAGTATTTACTGATATAGGTAAATATGATTATAAACCTTACATATTAGGTAGAATTTATTGTAGGGTTGTATTACAGGTAACCAATGACATTTCTTACAGAGAAAACGCTGGCGATATATATATTTTGTGGTACTGCTTCTTCGGATATCCTTATACAACTTCGAGCTTAAATTGAAAAATGTTTGTAGGTTATGCCGGTTTGGGTACACATTATATATGTGTTATTATTATAATTTCTATGTAAGAAATCAAAAATGTCTTTAGGTTGGTACATGTAATATTTTTTTTAAATATATTATACTGTGAGATTATTTTAACCACAGTTTACTTTTTAGAATGGCATCATACATTTTTTTTCATATTTCAAAGCTGAATATGTTCTCGAAATTTTCAATATGTACCTACCTATTTAAGTATCAAATTTCGAACAACTATCGAGTAGTCAAAAAAAATAAAACACTTTATAACAAAACATGGTTACAAAAAAAAAATAATATATTCAATAGATTATAGGCAGTAGGTTGATTCTATAATATTATTATATATCACTTTCCTAGTGTTAGTTGTATCATTGATTTTATAATAGACTATTGTCAAACGAATTTATTCAAATTAATATTAAACATTATTATTACTAAATACGCTTAATAATTTATATAAAATTAATTTTTGATAATAATTAAATATCAAATATCGTAGCTTCAAATTATTTAGTTTTTCAGGGCTGTTGCACATTTAGGTGATTTGAACTTAGATCCTAAAGTGAGTGATGGATCTGGACCAATAGATGTTGCAATTTCACGTGTTATAACACATGAACGGTATAACGCACAAGAATACACCACTGATATTGCATTATTAAAATTAGAAAACAGTGTTAGATTTAATCGTAAGTATTTTCAATATTTACTAATTATTTAGTCTCTAGTATAATAGGTACATTTCTTAAGTCTCTGGGGGTGTCTAGATACCTATTAATTATATTATTATAGAAACCAATAATAATATTCTAACATAACGTTAGAATATCATTACTTAACATTTCAAATGTTAAATCACTTGTATATTATACATAAAACATAAACAATATATTTTATTTTTTTAGAATTTATTCAACCCATCTGTTTACCTATCTTATCACATCATAGAGCCAACAAGTTAGTTAAATCTGTACCGTTTGTTGCCGGATGGGGTTCCACATCATTTCGTAAGTAACTAAATAATATATAAATATAGAGTATAGCCGTATAGGTGAAATTAAGAGGAATTACAGCATATATTAAAATGTATATTTTTAAATGTATATTTTATAATTTTATAATTTTAAATTTATTATTTAGGGGGACCAAGTTCTACTCATCTAATGGAAGTTCAAGTACCCGTGATGGACAATTCCGAATGTAAACGAGCATTTGCCAACAAGAAATCAGTTATCGATGATAGAGTTTTGTGTGCTGGTATCTTAACAGGTGGAAAAGACGCTTGTCAGGTACTGATTAAAAACTTTATAATTTGTACGGTGCATTTTTAATATATTTATAATTTTGATTGTTATTTCAGGGAGATTCTGGAGGTCCCTTAATGTGGCCCAGTGGTAGTCAATATTATTTAGTGGGTGTTGTGTCTTACGGATTTAAGTGCGCTGAACCAGGTTATCCAGGTGTATATACTAGGGTGGCATCATTTGTCGAATGGATCGCAGATAACATGAACTACAGTTAAATTGTATTAAATGATGCTGTGTAACAGACAACTTTGTGCAATTGGTTTATCTGTTTACTATTACAGCAAATTCATAATTTCTCAGATAACTACCTACTTAATTTTAACACCAATTGTTTTAAAAATGATTTTTAGTAATTAAAAATGATAATATTTGTATTCTAATTTTAATAGTTTATTTTAAAATATTAAGCAGCTATGTCAGATTCAAGTATTTCTCTTTAAAGCGAAATGTATACCTAGTACCTATTTTATTAAACATGATAAATTGTGGATTATGATTTCTAGATTTTATTATTTTATCGTGAAATAATTTATTTTAGATTCTGAGTGAAACGATGAATGTATTGATTTTACAATGATGTGTGTTTTTTTTTAAATTTTTTTTTATTTTTGTGTCTGTCATCACGTTTTAGAACAGTAAAACTTAAAAGTGCTTGGATTTTCTTCAACAGTAGCTTTTCTGATAGGAAAGTGAATCTAGTTGGTACTTTGGGGGGTCAAAAGTAAAAATTTCCTAGTAGTTTTCACAAGCGCCACAAAAACAACATAAAAATTAAGGAAAAACGGGAATTTTTACGCAAAATCGGTTTTCCAAAAAATCGATTTTGGTTTTTGGTGTAACTCTAAAAGAAATTAACGTATAAACATGAAATTTTCACTGGTTGTTTATATTTGAATTTTATATACACGATAACATTTTCAAAATATTTTGATTTATTTTGAACTGTTTAGGGACATTTTCATTTTCCATTTTTTTATAGTTTTTTTTCTAAAAATATCAATGAAATTTTATCTGTTGGTTGCGAAAGCTTGAAAATTTAATAGAAGGCTCCTAGTATATTGTTTCAAAGGCAGATGAAAAATATTAAAAATCCTTAGTCACAATTTTTTTTATAAGCATTTAAAGTTAAAAAATTGACAAAATATGGAAAAATCACTAAAATTAGCAAATTATTTTGAGTTAAAAATTCGTAAAAATTTATTTTTTTAAATCTAAGATTTTAAAATGTTATACAAGATTCCTTATAAGATTATCTACCTTTATCAAAAAAAAAATGTCTATAAGAAAGTCAAATTAAATTTTTATGAGCGTTTGAAATTCAAATTTTTACAACATTGGATACTCGATTTCTCATGTAGCGATTTCCTTATTTTGTTGTAATTCAAAAACGAATAACTATAGATACATGAAAATTGCACTGAATGTTTAAATTAGCATTTGATATACACCATACAATTCTGAAAATATTTTGACTCTTTTTGAGCTGTTTAGGGACATTTTCAGTTTTCAATTATTTTAGTTTTTTTTTCTATAAATATCAATAAAGTTTTATCTGTTGGGCCAAAGAGTGTAAAAATTTAATACAAGGCTCCTGATATATTGTTACAATATCTGTTGAAAAATATTAAAAATACAAAGGCACAATTTTTTTTTATAAGCATTTAAAGATCGAATTTTGGCAAAATTATCAATCGTTGTAATTAATAAATTATAAAATGTTCAGTTTTTATAGCTAAGGATTACAAATTTTAGACAAAGGTTCTCATAAATAGTTCATACTGTAACCAAAAAATCTAAAAAATATATGAACACAGTTATTTTTTACAGACATTTTAAATTCAAATTTGGACGAAATTACATATTAAAAAACCTAGAATAACTATTTTAGTTATTTTGTTGTGATTGAATAATGTTATTCGTGAGTACTTGAAACTTCTAAAGTGTACTATTATATATCTATGATAGTATCACGGTTTGTTGTTGATGTATAACGCATTATAAGTACCTAATGGATATTGTGATATGATTCATTTGGAATTTATTATAGGTACCTTATTTTTATATAATTTTTTTTAATACCATAGATAAGTATATAATATGTCTCAGAATCCTTTTTCTTATACAATGATAATATATCATTGAATTCAAATTTAATATCATCCATTATACAGTGACCCACTTGTAACCTACTGTACAGCAGAGCGACACCCACTTGCCCACCTTTTTTAAATTAATTCTTCCAATAAATATAAAAATAAACATTTATATAATAATACTATTAATATAAAAAATTTCAAAGATCGAATTTTGACAAAATTTATCAAATTTTAAATTGAATAATTATTTTGTAGTTAAAAATGTATAAGATGTTCAAATTTTATATCTAAGGATTGAAAATTTAAAACAAGATTCCACGTAAGTAGTGAATTCTGTATCAAAAAAATCTAAAAAATACACATCCACGGTTTATTTGTATAGTCATTTTAAATTCAAATTTGGACGAAATTACATAATAAAAAAACCTAGAATAATTATATTAGTTATTTTGTTGTGATTGAATAATATTATTCGTGGGTACTTGAAACTTCTAAAGTGTAGTATTATATATCTATGATTGTATCACGGTTTTTGTTGATGTATAACGCGTTATAAGTACCTAATGGATATTGTGATATGATTAATTTGGAATTTATTATAAGTACCTATTATAGGTCAAATTTTGGTTTAGTACCATAGATATGTATATAATATGTCTTATACCTAGACTGACATACCGTCTCCGCTCATAATCGTTTTTCTTATCCAATGATATTATATCGTTGATTTCAAATTTAATATCATCCATTATACAGTGACCCACTTGTAACCTACTGTACAGCAGAGCGACACCCACTTGCCCACCTTTTTTAAATTAATTCTTCCAATAAATATAAAAATAAACATTTATATAATAATACTCCATTAGTCCAATATATTGGATGATCTGAAGATTTAAAGTTTTACGTATTAGCATATTCATAAGCATAAGTCCGGCTATAATATTGTCACTGCCTGTATAGTGTAAATATAACCTAAAAATGTAACCTACATCAATACGTTAAACTTAAAAATATAATAAATATAAAGTTTTATGTTCATTATATTTATATACCTGCAGATACATATTATAGTGTTAACAGCTAACACCAATTATAAGTATCTATATATAACTATTAACTAGTAGGTACCTATTTATCATATTATACTCAATAGCATAAGCTTACCCTTAAGTAGCGACGAATGCAGATAGATTGAGTTGGTACTACAATTTTAATTTCTGAGTTCTTAGTTAAATATCACAAGTAGTGTTTGAAAATTTCATGAAATTTAAAAAAATGAAATATTCCGTGAAATATTTCAGTATTTTAATATATTTTGTTATATTTTTAAATAAGTTTTAAAATTATGTTACAGTTAAAACCCGAAATCCGTCGAAACTAGTTTTAACTAGTCAAAACTAGTTTCCACAAATCCCTTTAGTAATTTCTGGTCTTAACTAGTTAAAACTAGAATTCACCGCAGGTTCAAATAAGTCAGTAAAAACTAGTTTTAACTAAAATGCATGACAATAATATTATATTGTATTTAAACTCGTACTACATAAAACTCACACGACCACAGACGATCTATAAATATTGCTCGATAATTATTTGACCGGTCGACTATCAAATCAATTAAGATAACTTTAACGAAGTTAGAAGCTGAAGGACTACTTCGACAACTTAATAGACTAGAAACATCATTTATGACCGAGTTTTGGAATGATGTACTTCATACATTTAATAAAACTAGTAAACTATTACAGTCTGTTCAAATAGATTTGAGTACTGTAGTAGAATTATATAATTCATTAGTTGCTTATGTAAAATCTGTACGAGAAATGTTTCAAACCTATGAAGATGCAGCAAAAGAAAAATTTATAGATTGTAATAAAATTCCGGAATTTGAAAATAAGCAAAGAAAACGAAAAAAACATTTTGATGAATCCAATGATCCTGGTCATACATTTGATAGCCAAAACAATTTTAAAATTAATACATTTTATGTCATATGTGACAATTTAACAGTTGAACTCAACAAAAGAAAATCTGCTTATGACAGTATAATATCTAAATACAGCTTTATTTTAAAAATATATGAACTAGATCCTCCAGAAATCCGTGAAGATGCAAAAAAATTGAGAACTATCTACAAACAAGATCTAGATGAATCCTTTTAAAAGGAATGTGTTCATTTTCAAAGTGTATTAAAATAGTAGAATTAACCACCAATTCTCTTAAAACCCTATTAGACATGAGTAAATTTATAAAAGAAAAACAATTCGTAAATTCGTTACAATATTTCCTTATGTTGATGTAGCTTTAAGAATATTCCTTTGTAATTTGGCCTCCAACTGTTCAACCGAAAGGTCTTTTTCTACCCTCCGTAGAATAAAAAAATATTTAAGATCATCTATGTCTTCAGAAAGACTTAATAGTCTTGCAGTTCTTAAGTAATGATTTTATATAATTTGTCGTGTCAAAATAAATAATATAATAAATTCCTATAATAATTATTCTAATGTGTACTTATATTTCTACTTTTCCCTAGTTAAAACTAGTTTAACCTATCAATATAAAAATTAAGGATTTTAACTAGATAATTCTAGTTTTCACCAATATATTTTATATACAACTAGTTTTGATGGTGATGGTCTTAGTAAATTCTAGTTTTAACTAGTTAAAACCAGAAATGACTAAAGGGATTTGTGGAAACTAGTTTTGACTAGTTAAAACTAGTTTCGACGGATTTCGGGTTTTAACTGTAACATTTACATATAATTGTTATAAATTACCTTCATCACTACAATGGTACCTGTATCCGTGTATGTATACCTAACCTTTGGTATTCAAAATTTTTAAATATTTTAATGTTTAAATGATACAAGTAGGTATTACCAATATTATACATGTATATAGTGCCGCTCTAACCACCAATAACGCCCTAGGGCAACAATATTTGACGCCCCTCACCCTCCCACCAAAAAATCTCGACTTCGAATTTTTAGCTTATAATTAACCACATACCTTAAATATGTTTAATACTTATTAATTAAAGGTTCCTACTTATTTTTTTAAATATTATTATTGGGATCATATTTATTTTGTTTATATTTGAACACCGATTTCATTATTCT